ATTTTGAACTTGGAAATGTTTTGAAAACTGGATGTTAGAGAACAGATAGAGAACTAAAGAAGGTTAATATCAGAACTAGGATATAAGATATATAAAATAACAAGCTCCGAAACTATGTTTCTAATCGCTCGCTTGCTTCAAATTCTTTTCATAGTTTTTTTTTTTTTTTTTTAATATTTCAAAAATAACATCGCTCTCGAGTAAAAAATTCCTTAGCCTGCCAAAATTCAAATTTCAGAAAAAAAAACAAATGAAAAATTTTCGCTCTCTCGCTACCCTTTTTCAAAGGAAAGAGTCCGAAGAACTAGAAATTAATTTGGTGTGGCCTAACCATTGGCAATACAAACTTAATAATATATGACGGCAGATCGTAAAATTGCGACGTTATTATAGCAGACAGAATGCCTAGGAAAGGTATTACTTCCTTTGCCACATGTTTGCAATAAAATTTAATTTTTCTTAGAAATCTTGTCGGCGGAGAGGCATAAATGAATGGAAACACATGATTTATTGAGTCTTGAACTTATTTATGATTTGTAACCCAAAATAAATTTCATACCCTTCTTATATAATTGTAATTCTTGATTATTTCACAGATGTACAAATTACAAATAAAAGAAGTATCACTTTTTTTATTTACATGGTAACCTTTTAAATTTATTTGGTTACTCCAATCAATTTTCTTTTAAGTTCTTATTTTATGTCATAAAATAATGTAAAAATTCCAAAAAAATTACATGTCTTTTTATCAAAATTAGCATGTTTAGAATAACTCATCTGAGTTATTTTTTTTATATTTTCTTATGATATTAACTATATGAATATTTTCAAAAACCTTGTTCAAGTAATGCCTCTGACTGAAAAGTAAGCAGAAATAAAACTAGAGGCTCTCAAGAGCCTATGTCACTCACCTGTATCTACTGTGGTTTTAGAAATCATGTAAAATACGGTTAAAATCATAATAGATACCCTAATAATTATTGAGACCAAGTTTGGTTTAATTTGGCCCAGTAGTTAAATTAAAAGCAGAAGATTTTTTTTTAAATTTACAAAAATTATCGATAAATTGCAGAAAATGACTTTAAAGGACAATAACTCCAACAAGATGTCAATTGCCCATTTTGGTTATGTTGACTTATTTGTAGATCTTTCTATGCTTGATATTTTGCTGTTTATAATTAATAATCTGACAATTACAGGGCAGATAGATCTTGACCTGATGAACAATTTTACCATGTGTCAGATTTGCTCTAAATGCTTGGGTTTCAGAGATATAAGCCAAAATCTACATTTTACCCATATGTTCTATTTTTAGCCATGGCGGCCATCTTGGTTGATGGGCAGGATCATCAGATACATTTTTAAAACTAAATACCCTAAGGATGATTTAGGCCAAGTTTGGTTCAATTTGGCCAAGTAGTTTCAGAGGAGAAGATTTTTGTAAAAGATTACAAAAATTTATGAAAAATTGTGAAAAATTGACTTTAAAGGGCAATAACTCCCTATGGGGTCAATTGACAATTTTGGTTATGTTTGACTAACTTGTAGAGCTTACTTTGCTGAACAATTTTGCGGTTTACAGTTTATCTCTATCTGTTATAATATTCAAGATAATAACCAAAAACTGCAAAATTTCCTTAAAATTACCAATACAAAATAAAATGCTCCACTGGGCACAGCTTGATACAACTGCAGATGTCGAACCCTGAACGGTTGGGGCAAGTATGGACACAACATTCAAGCTTGATACAGCTCAAAATTTGGATTGTGATTAAATATTTGACACAGCATAGGTTTCTGACACAGAATGAATGTGGTCTAAGAACTTAAAATTTTTTAATTTACCTATAATGGTCCAATATCCAAAATCTAAATACATACACGGTTAGATTCAGCATATCAAAGAACACCAAGAATTCAATTTTTGTTAAAATCAAACTAAGTTTAATTTTGAACCCTTTGGACCTTAATGTAAACCAATTTGAAAACGGGACCAAAAATTAAGAATCTAAAATCTAAATACACGGTTAGATTCAGCATATCAAAGAACCCCAATATTTCAATTTTTGATGAAATCAAACCATATCATTATTATTTGCTTTTATATATAAATCAAAAATAACCAACTTAAAATGGAAAATTTTAAGAAAAAAAAAAAGGAAAAAAAACTCCCTCTCCCCAATTTTTTGAACCCCCTTATGATTCATCACCCCCAAACTCAATCACAGCCTTCCCTCTGTGGTATGGTACCTTGCAGAACAATTTCAGAGAGATCCATACACTTGAACACAAGTTATTGTCTGGAAACTGTAAAAATGCTTGTTTTTTGGCCCCAAATTCCTAAACGTTTTGGGCAATTACCCCAAACTCAATTCCAGCTTTCCCTTTGTGATATGGAACCTTGTAGTACAATTTCAGAAAGATCCATACACTTACACACAAGTTATTGTTCTGAAACTAGAAAAATGCTTGTTTATTGTCCCTTTTTGACCCCTAATTCCTAAAATTTTGAGGCAATTACACCCAAAATCAATCCCAGCCTTCCCTTTGTGGTATATGGTACCTTGCAGTACAATTTCAGAGAGATCCATACACTTGAACACAAGTTATTGTCTGGAAACTAGAAAAATGCTTATTTTTGGCCACTTATTCCTAAACGTTTTGAGCAATTACCCCCAAACTCAATTTCAGCTTTCCCTTTGTGATATGGAACCTTGTAGTACAATTTCAGAGAGATCCATACACTTCAACACAAGTTATTGTCTGGAAACTAGAAAAATGCTTGTTTTTTGGCCTCAAATTCCTAAATTTATGTTTTGGGCAATTACCCCAAACTCAATTCCAGCTTTCCCTTTGTGATATGGAAACTTGTAGTACAATTTCAGAAAGATCCATACCCTTACACACAAGTTATAGTCCTGAAACTAGAAAAACGCTTGTTTTTTGCCCCTTTTGACCCCTAATTCCTAAATTTTGAGGCAATTACACCCAAAATCAATCCCAGCCTTCCCTTTGTGGTATATGGTACCTTGCAGTACAATTTCAGAGAGATCCATACACTTGAACACAAGTTATTGTCTGAAACTAGAAAAATGCTTATTTTTGGCCACTTATTCCTAAACGTTTTGGGCAATTACCCCCAAACTCAATTTCAGCTTTCCCTTTGTGATATGGAACCTTGTAGTACAATTTCAGAAAGATCCATACACTTACAAACAAGTTATTGTCATGAAACTAGAAAAATGCTTGTTTATTGCCCCTTTTGTGGCCCCTAATTCCTAAAATTTGAGGCAATTACCCCCAAAATCAATCCCAGCATCCCCTTTATGATATGGAACCTTGTGGTACAATGTCAGAGAGATCCATACACTAACACACAAGTTATTGTCTGGAAGTTACAAAAATGCTTATTTTTGGCCCCTAATTCCTTAACTGTTGGTACCATAACCCCCAAAATCAATCTCAACCTTCCTTTTGTGGTATTGAAACTTATGGTAAAATTTCAAAGAGATCCATTCACTAAACTAAAGTTATTGTGAGAAAACCAATGTGTCTTCGGACGACGACGACGCCAACGTCATACCAAATTACTTTCAGCCTTCATTGCGATAAATATAACTTCATTACAAGTTTAAATGACATATTATCAAATAAAAGAGCAAAAACGTTTATACATGGATTTGAAATTTATCTTCAAATAGACAGCTGGAGATTACTCAGTGCCAATGAAATACAATTTGTAAAAAATAAAATAATGCTTTTATTAATCAATGTTAATAAAATACTTCTCCTTACGCCGATAAACAAAAAGACCCATAATAAATTGGTATTTCAACAAATCGGTCTTAATAATTGGATAGTGTGTTTTCTTTCAGCATGTATGGGATAAATCTGCAATAAACCCATTTAAGACTAGGTAGCCCCATAAGACAGGAAATCTTGTAGCTAGTCACATAAATGTTCATACCTGACATTCTTTTAACTGGAATACTGAATCTTTTTTGTGCAATCTAATTTAAAGCAGAAATTTCACTTTGGTCTGTTCGGTTTTTTTGTTGTTCGTGTAAGATCTAAAGACATCCCATTAAGGGTAAATATAGATTCCACCACTGCAACAAGTGTGTTACGATATTTCTCCACTCGAGACAGTTAAATCTTAAAATTTAAAGCGTGAGGCTTGCCGAGCTTTTTATTGCGAACTCAATGAAAGTTTTCCACAGTGCCATCTCTATCTTGACCAGGTATTTAAACTTTTGTAAGTTCACCTGTCCTATTGAATGAATACAATAGCTATTTTTCTCTATGTAGTTTATTCACTGGGACCTTTAAATTTCTTCTAAGAGAAATCTATCACTCATTGATTAATTTACCTGAGCAAAAAAAAATTCTTATATATAGACAAAAATACTTTTTTTATACTCATTAACTGCATGTGATGATGTATTTATTCAATATTAATAATATATTTACATTCAGTTTAATATAAACATTGATTCAATCATAAAAAGTTGATTTCTGACAAAACTTTCAACATTGTTCCTTTTTAAAAAAAATTTGTTTGACATGAATAAGAACTTGAAAATAATGATGTTTCAAATTAAGATCTCCTTTAATATATTCTATAACTAAACAAAAAAAATCAAATTTCAATAGGAACATTGATAAAACTTTTGTTAGAAATCAACTTTTTTTTATTTAATCAATGTTTAGTATTAAACTGAATGAAAGTATATTATTAATATTGAATAAATACATCATCACACGCAATTAATGAGTATAAAAAAAGTATTTTTGTCTATATATAAGAATTTTTTTTTACTCAGGTAATTTAATCAATGAATGATAGATTTCTCTTTGAAGAAATTTAAAGGTTCCAGAGAATAAACTTCACAGAGAACAATAGCTATTGTATTCAATCAATAGGACAGATGAACTTGCAAAAGTTTAAATACCTGGTCAAGATAGAGATGGCACTGTGGAAAACTTTCATTGGGTTCACTGTTGAGAGTGTAAAAATATCGTAATACACGAGTTATAGCGGTGGAATCTGTTTCTCTAATGATTTTATCCTTCCTTTTCAAAAATTTGCAGAAAGTTGTGTTCATTATATGTGACGTCATCAGGCATTGTCACCTTTTTTCATGACGTCACAATAGGAAATTCAGAAGAAACCAAGAAAAATTGACGTCATAATTAAATTTCGACCAATTATTTGCCGACAACAGATATTTCTCTAGTGAGGAGAACAATTTTTTTAAAATCGGTTGGGAAATGTAAAAATAGTTAAAAAAATTAGAGAATGTTTAGTTACCATTTAGTATCACTACAAAAGTTTCAGTATTCCTGTTCACTGCAAAATATTCCCATATCTAGTTCAGAACTTTGATGATCTAACTAGATAATTTCTAAACTTTTGTTGTGATTCTATGCACTGTCATGACTTACAATTCCACTGTACAGATTAGTAGATTTTACTTGATTTTGATGTTCACAATATACATAGTATCTATAGTTTTTCCACTACATGTACATGTATATTAATGAATTTTAGTTGTAAGTAAAGAATATAAACTGTTGACACAGAAATATGTCTCGCCTGTCCACATAAAATTCAGAAAGAGACAATCTGATGGACAGCATTGACATTGCTTATTCATTAAAAGTCGCTGGACCATGATCTTGTGGGCTGGGCCTAGAAATGGTCGACAAACTGAGATGTACTGATAGTAATGCAACTTTATACAAAATATCAATGATCTGTCACAAGTAGTTCTTATCAAACTGACTTAAGCAGAAAACTTAACATTGAAAAATTGCTAATTTATTCAAAGTCACTAGACCATGACCTTAGGGGGCAGAGCCTCAAATTAGTCGTCAAACAAATATGTACTGATAGTAATGCAACTTCATACAATATACCAATTATCTATCACAAGTAGATTCTATCAAACTAACTCAAGCAGAAAACTTAACATTGAAAATTGCTTATTAATTCAAAGTCACTAGACCATGTCCTAGGGACCAGGGCCACAAAATGATATGTACTGATAGTAATGCAACTTCATATTAAATATCAATGATCTATCACAGGTAGTTCCCATCAAACTAACTTAAGCAGAAAACTTAACAATTGTTGACGCCACCGCTGTCACTGTCGACGGAAAAGGAATCCCTATGTCTCGCTTTCCGTGACTTTCATAGCAGGCGAGACAAAAACCATGGTCTTTGCCCTCCAACTTGGAAAACATCAGGTTGCAATTCACTTCCTTGTCTAGAGTTCCACCATCTTTAATTAAAGTAAATCATTAAGTCTGTTTAGTTCCTGTGATATTTCCTTCACTCTTTCCATGATTTTATGTTTGTCTTTTTCATGTAATTGTTTACCATATTTTTGTTGAAATTTATCTGGATGCCATCGAACTTGTTCCTCACGTAAACGTTTCTTATATTTTTCACCAGCAGATAACACGGACTGAAACATGACATTTTTTATCTCTTTAACATCACTGTCAAAAGGCCACGGCACGTCATTAAATTTTATTTCCCCTTCATGAGACATTAGACCTATAGCAGTGATATTTTTCAGGTAGTTATTACTTTTAAGTAAGAACCTGTTCTCTCTATCTCTTTTCTGATTTTCTTCATATTTTTGTCTCATTTTCTCTCTAATGTCTTCAAGCTTTTCTTTATTGTCATTTTGTTCTTTGGATTGACTGGATGAGGCTGTCTCCTCATGTTTTTTAGGGTGATGTCCACTGTATCTATGCTTCATATGATATTCATGCCTTAGTCTGTCTGCCCATTCATCATAACCTTCTGCATAAGAATCTTCATCTTTATCTATGAAAAAATAGATCATATAAAAAATTTAATTGGATATTTACATTTTCATAAAGAAATAATCATACATAAAATTTTGAATCATTGAATTTAAATATTTTAATTAAATATCCATGACATCAATTTCACAGGAAAGGTAGGCATGCAGGAGCATTCTTTATTTACTTAAATTGAAAAAATATTCAAATTGTCTTTATCATTTTTACAGTTGTATTAAAATGCTATGTCACAGAACCAGGGATCTCCATGGATGAAAATTTAACGATGGAGAAACTTTCAACATAACAAAACCTCATATCTACGGCGTGGCGTGATGGAAAGTATTTCATTTTTCCATTTCCATGTTCTGAACAGAAAACCAAAAAAAGCACATTTTTCAAACATTTTCTGTGTTTTTTATTTAAAAAATAACTAGAATTGCACAAACTTGTCTTTCTTTTATCTCCTTATCAAATTATAATTCTAGCACAATTTGATAATTAAAATAAAATGAAAATATATTAAAATATTATTTTTTTTAAGTATCCTCAGTGGTAACGCCTTAGTGAATTCTTAGCCAGATACAAATATTGCATCTTAATAAAGTTGCTAGCATAAAGGTATGATCGTAGTAAATGATTAATTAGTTGTTTCAGAATCTAATGCATTCTGGGTAATATTTTCAAAAGCGCCATGATTAGTTAAAAATGTCCTAAAAATAGAAATTCAATCAATGATGTGATTTTGATTTTGATTTTGGGGATTCTAAAAATGAAACTACCCATAGTCCTTTTTGATGAAGAAACTGCAAATTTATTGCTTCCTTGACATGTAGACACCATTTTGAACTATCAATTTATAATTGACGCCAAGAATTACTAAAATTGCATCACAAACCAAGATAGTATACTGCACAGATATTGATTACTTAAAACAAAATTGCAAAAACAATGAAAATATTTTTCTTTTCTTCCTTTATGGACAAACATGAATATAAAACCAAATTGTCAAGCATAAAAAAATACAGAAAATAGGAAGTAAAATGACATTTTCTAGACACTTTTATAGTAGCTTATCAAAGCAATAAATTGAGACCATTTCTGTCTATAACAATAAGGGACATAACTTTTGTTAGTCATTTCAAACAACATGAACAATGTCTAAAAAAAATATAAAATAAAAAATTCTCAATGACATTAAATCTACAATCAAACTATTAAATGCAGTTCAAATCTCAATCTGAAGTATTACATACCACTGTGATATCTGCCTGTATAGTCATCATGTTCATATCGTAATTCATCAGCAAGTTTATCTTGCCAGTCGTCTGCTTCATTCTCCTCCTCTGACTTGTAAAACGAAGGCTACAAAATTTGCAATGTATTATTTTTTAAAAATCAAGCATATGAATGTAAGCTTTGTGATTTAGCTTTTATAGTTAAACAATAAAATATCTAGGATTCACAAATAGTTCATTTAACACATTTTTTGTGAAATATGAATACAGGGCAATATGGGTGAACGTCAATGCCACAATAATGCCATACTTTTCATGTGACCTACAGAATTAGATTTATCACCAGGTTTGTACTAACATGAGCAACACGACCGGTGCTACATGTGGAGCAGGATCTGCTTACTCTTCTGGAGCACCTGAGATCACCCCAGTTTTTGGTGGGGTTCGTGTTGCTCAGTCTTGAGTTTTCTATGTTGTGTTATGTGTACTATTGTTTGTCTGTTGGTCTTTTTCTTTTTTTGCCATGGCGTTGTCAATTTATTTTTAACTTATGAGTTTGAATGTCCCTTTAGTATCTTTCGCCTCTCTTTCACATGCATTCAAGTTATCATCTAAAATTGTAGTAAAATAAGGTCATTTGAATTGCGAGGTGCTTACAGTAAGTGATGTAAAGGGTAATTTCAGAGCAGTAATACTGTTCACAATAGAACATGTATCCTGTAAATTACTAATGAACATGATAAATAAAGTAGTTCTTAAAATGTAATTTGTATGGAAAGTACAACTTTTGAAAAAATAATTTTGATTTAATTCAAAATTACATTGCTAAAAATGATGCAATTGTAATGGTAATTCTATAGAACCATTTTTGCAATATAATTGTAATTTAATTAATCATATCCCTGGGTAAGGCTGGAGGTTTGTATGCAGGTAAATCTGGTTAAACACCACACAGTTTGTCCCTGTACCAAGTCAAGCTAAGCTATCTGTTATCCATAGTGGTTAGTCTTTACTTGTTTATTTTTTGAAAGGAGTGTGATGTTGTTCAATGATTGGTATGGTCAGTTGTACTCCCAGATTTCTCTAAATCTTTTTTCCCAGGATGTCCTAGAAGAAAATCTGCTGGTCCTCCACCATCATTTCTATTGCAAAATACCAACATTGTGTTGGTCCTTTGCAAAATTTTGGTACTCAAAAACCTTCAAACAACCACTTTTTGAGCACTCTGCTCTACCATATTTTTGGTTATGCCTGTTATCCTTTTTATGTATTATTTCAATGGCAATAAAATTGAGAATGGAAATGGGGAATGTGTCAAAGAGACAACAACCTGACCATAGAACAGACAACAGCCGAAGGTCACCAACAGGTCTTCAATGCAGCGAGAAATTCCCGCACCCGGAGGCGTCCTTCAGCTGGCCCCTAAACAAATATATAAACTAGTTCAGTGATAATGAACGCCATACTAAACTCCAAATTGTACACAAGAAACTAAAATTAAAAATAATACAAGACTAACAAAGGCTAGAGGCTCCTGACTTGGGACAGGCGCAAAAATGCGGCGGGGTTAAACATGTTTATGAGTTCTCAACCCTCCCCCTATACCTCTAGCCAATGTAGAAAAGTAAACGCATAACAATACGCACATTAAAATTCAGTTCAAGAGAAGTCTGAGTCTGATGTCAGAAGATGTAACCAAAGAAAATAAACAAAATGACAATAATACATAAATAACAACAGACTACTAGCAGTTAACTGACATGCCAGCTCCAGACTTCAATTAAACTGATTGAAAGATTATGTCTTCATCATATGAATATCAGGCACAATCCTTCCCGTTAGGGGTTTAGTATCATACCATCATAACATATATGAGAAGAACATAACCCGTGTCATGCCAACAACGCATATATTAAGAAGAGGACTTATTATATCAACTTTTATCAAACCCTTTTGTTTATTTGTAGTCAAATAAAAATTAAACTAAATATGTTTCTTTTTTTGGGACAAGAATTTTTATTATGAAGGGAAAAAATGAAGAAAAACAACAAACCTGATCTTTGTGTTCATGATGCTGCTTTTTCTTCACAAGCTTGTCCAACAAGTTTCTACATGATATCCCATCTTCATTATCTACTTCCAATAAATCTGGACATTTCTCAATCAGAGGTAGAATAATAGAAGTATACACTGAAATATTAAAATAAACTGTTATCACAGAGATATGTCTCGCCTTTTTGTAATTTTGATAATGCAAATGTTGAAATTAAAATAGCAATACTTTAACATGTAAGTTATGCAAATATTCAAAGTCGATGAACCATGACTGAAGGTACATGGCTAAACAATCTCCATGGAATGAGATTTGCCAATGCTAATACAACTGCATACCAAATACCATTGACTTATTATAAGTTGTTCCCTTTAAACAAACCTAAACACAAACATTAACTTGTAAACTATGTAAAAGTTTAAAAGTCAATGAACCATGATCAGGGGTGGGGCTATATAATCTCCATGGAAACGATACTTGCAAATGCCAATAAATTTGCATACCAAATATCATTGACTTAACATTAGCAGTTCATCTTAAACTGATCTAATCACAATCTAATACAAGTAAACTAAGCAAAAGTTTCAAAGTAAATAGACCATGACTGAGGGGGCGGGCCAAATATTCTCCATGGAAATGAGATGTGCTAATGCTTATACAACTGAACACCAATTAACATTGGCCTACCACTAATGGTTCCCCTTGAACTGACCTAATCACAAACTAATACATGTTAACTTAGCAAAATTTTCAAAGTCTATAGACAATGACTAAGGGGGCGGAGCCAAATAATCTCCATGGAAATGAGATATGCCAATGCTCATACAACTGCATACCAAATATTATTGACCTACCACTAGTGGTTCCCCATAAATTGACCTAATCACAAACTAATACATGTAAACTATGAAAATTTTCAAAGTCAATAGACCTTGACTGAGGGGGCGGGGCCACATAATCTCCATGGTAATGAGATGTGCCAATGCTTATACAACTGCATACCAAATATCATTGACCTACCACTAGTGGTTCCCCATAAATTGACCTAATCACAAACTAATACATGTAAACTATGAAAAGTTTTTAAAGTCAATAGACCTTGACTGAGGGGGTGGGGCCAAATAATCTCCAAGGTAATGAGATGTGCCAATGCTAATACAACTGCATACCAAATATCATTGACCTACCACTAGTGGTTCACCATGAACTAGACCTAATCACAAACTAATACATTGTTGACACCGTCGCTGCCTTTGCCGATGCTGGAAACAGCATACCTATGTCTCGCTTTTTGACTCTGTCAAGGCGAGACAAAAATATCTACGAAACTTTAATTTCATTTAGTCAATGTGATCATTTATTAATTGTTTTTTTAAAGATTTCATCTTTTTGTTTTTTAATTTAAGGTCCATGCAGAAATTTGCTGGATACAAATTTGAAATCAAGGAAAACTACTTTAAAAACATTATGCATTATTTGAACATTTCAGCTGCTAACATTGGGAATATGTATATACGTGTCAAATATTTTTTTTTTTATGTTCCCTGTTTATACTAAAAACATTTGTTGGCTTTTTGGTAGTGAGGTGTTGAAAAACCACCATGTTTGTCACTCACAAAATCGCCTTATGAAAGGCAAAAAATAGTTTCTTTTAAATCACCAAATTTTAAAATAAATTCCTACTTACTCATTTTTTAAATGTCAATATCTAAAATACACATATTTTTGTTTGGCCTAATCATTATAAGTCAAAGGAAATGATTATTGATTGTATGTATGTTTGTTTCTCTAATTCTATGGAAATTTATCCCTTTCCGAACCCATTGTATAAAAAAATTTAATCAACGTGTGGTTGCCAGTGATCTCAGAAGATGATTGGATGAGTTTAAGGGTCATAACCTTTCTCAGCTCACTGGATGCATCAAAATATGTTAACAGGTGTTAATGAAATTGACAACTTTATGGAAAGTGGAAGGCACTCGAAGGGGATTTTAGTTTAGCAAAAAAGGAAAATTTATTTTTTTATCATTAGAGAAACAGATTCTTACATAGTTACTCGTGGATTATCGGATTTATCCAATCTCGATAGCTCGGACTTTAAAATTGATAATTTAACTATCTCGATTGGATAAATCCGATGATCCACAGGTATCAATGTAAGAATCTACATTTACGTCTTGACTAAATTTTACATCTTCTCCAAATAATATAAGATCATAAAATAACTAGAAGAGAACTGTCAAATAACAATACATATTTGCAAATTTAGATGTTTTTCTTAATCTGACTATCTTTTTTCATTTCAATTATTATATTTTTCAGCTGGAAAGTATATGCCTCATATATATTTATGGTTGAATAACAAATATACATATATGTATATATCATATAAAACTGTTAGTTTGCTTTTCATAACCAAACAGTTCATTTATTATTCAATTCAATTCAATATTTATTGGAAAGAGCACAATAGAGGCGTGATCCAAATACAGACAATAATAATATTAAAACAACATATAAATGAAATATAGATGCATGTAACAGCAAGTCATAAGTAAATTCTATAGATACCATAACATTCTAAGTATACCCTATGAATACCATTACATTCTAAACTCATATTAATACCATTACACATATACATCACGATTATTCTAAATTTTCATAAACCTACTTAAAACACACAATCACCTATATAAGATATATGTGTATATGCACAAACTACTATAAAGGATTATTATCTGATGAAACAGTATGGTGGTCTCTCAAATCAAGAGCTTCTTCAATATACATACAAATAAATTTTAGTTCTTTTTCAGACATAGGATTTAACATTTTGGTTAAATTTTCATCCAAATTATTTGAGTTAATATCATTGATTTTATATTTAGATCTAATTTTGTTATATTGAGGACATTCAATCAAGAAATGTATCTCATTTTCAATTTTTCCTGTGCAAAATTTACAAAATCTCTCATTAGAGGGTATTATTGGTCTTGCATACCTACCAGTTTCTATTGCTAATGAGTGTGCACTTATTCTTAATTTAGTGAGCTTTTTTCTAAGATATTTAGGAACATTAAAGTTCAAATATTCTTGTTGTTTAATTTTAGTATAAATTTTACTAAAAAATAAAAGTTTACCACAGTTTCCATCTTTTATCTTAGATAGTTCAAATATAATTTTATTTTTGTAGAAATCTTCTAGTTTCTGTTTGAAATTACTATTACAATGCTTGTTTAAGGGTATTCCAATATATTTTAATAATTCACATAATTTATAAGACCATGAATTTTCTCTATTTGTGAGAGTTTTGTCCACTTCAAAAGCAGCCTTGAGAATTTCATGTGGACCACCAGACCGTTCACTAATATCACTGAGACGCACATAGTATTTATACATAAGTTGATAACATTTAATGCTAATAGGTAATGTGCCCAATTCGCACCACACTGCTAGATTGGAAGACTTTCCATGAACCCCAAGTATGTTTTTAAATATGGAGTTTTGTGTTTTTTCTAATTTACTTTTGTCTAATGCTTCAAAATTTGGTTTGAATTCTGATATCCATACTTCTGATCTATAAGTTAAAATAGGAATCATCATTGAATTAAAAAGCTGAAGCCAAGTTTTAACAGACAAGTTTTCACTATATGGGAGTTTAGACTTTAATGCAAAATATGCTTTTTTAGCTTTATCTGAGAGGCTTGACACTGCCTGTATAAATTTTCCAGAGCTATGAAAATCAACTCCTAAGTATTTATAACAATCAACGATTTCAATTGCATTAGAACTGTAATAAAAGTACAAGTTTTCTTTATTTACTTTATTTTTAGAGAAAATTATAATTTTTGTTTTCTTAAAATTCACATCCAGTTTCCATTCAGCACTATATTTTTGCAAAGAATCAAGAGAGTTCTGGAGACCAGCTGCAGATTCAGACATCAATAATAAATCATCAGCATACAATAAATGGTTCACTTTTTGATCATGTAAATTCACTGCACTAGTTGAGTTTGTATCTAAGTATTTTCCTATGTCATCAACAAATATATTAAATAAAGTCGGACTTAAACTGTCTCCTTGTTTGACTCCCTGATTAGCAAGAAAAAGCTTAGTAAACATTTTTTAATATTTACATGAATATAAGGTATTAGAGTACATGTCATGCAGTATATTATAAAATTTGCCTTTTATTCCTTTATTTTGTAATTTTAAGAATAGAGCTGATCTCCAGACACTGTCAAAAGCCTTTTTAAAATCTACAAAACACACATATTGTTTCTTTTTGCATTTAAACAAATATTTGTTTATTATTGTTTTTAAAATAAAGACATGATCTATAGTTCTGTAATTTTTTCTAAAACCACCTTGATTTGAAGATAATAAATTATTTGTTTCAAGAAAATCACTAATTCTTTTTTGTAATATGGAGGTAAAGACTTACCAAGACAGCTTGTTATGCTTATACCTCGATAGTTCCCACAATCAGACGGGTCACCAGATTTATAAATTGATGTCAATAGAGAAATGTTCCAAATTTTGGGAAATTTTTCTGAATTAAGTATCTTATTAAAAAGTTTTGTTCGAAGTAAAACTAGAGTGTTTGACCCTACCTTCTATTATAGAGAAAACAAAAAATTAACAATTGGTACAATGTCTTACTATTTCATTATAAAGTCTGATGACAATAAACAGTAAGGATTTCAATTTGCTGACAATGTATATATGTATATGTAAACTTTTCATTTTCAAAGCGTCTAATTTTTAAAGTTTAAAAATACAGTGAACAAATTACTACTTTAACCATTTGTATACAAGATTGAGCATATATTTTGTACCTGTATTTGCTGTTGATTTCAAAGCACGTTTTAGAGCTAAGTGTAAAGCTGTATTCCCATTACTATCCTGGAGTATAACATTTACATCCTTTTTAATCAAGTATCTGGCAATTAAAAATAAAAGTTTAAAAATAATTTTGAAATACCAATGACAAGAAGTTATGCATATATGTATCAACATTCTACAAATGGTTAAACAAATCTAGTTTCCATTGCTCATTGCTACTGGAACCCAGTTTACTCTAGATGACATGTTATAGTAGAAAAGATTTAGTCATTAGGTTTGTGTTGTTCTATTGTTAATTTTCTGTGTAGTGGTCTTTTCATCTTTTTTTTAAACTTTGCTACGTCTGTCTTCCTCAACTTTGATTTTTTATAGACCTCTGTGCATCTTTTTACTTTTTCTAGATAGAATTGAGAATGGATTTTATTCATACTTATATATATACGCAATAACATCAAAATCATAGAAAATGTCAATCAATTTTTTTTTTAAATAGGTTCACTCTGTTGTCACTCAATTCATACCTAGATTAACCTTTGTGATGAGTTGCTTTGGGGACATGTTCTCATTGCACCTATTTCTAGTAGCATTTCAAAGACAACTCTCTTTTATCATTCACAAATGATTTTTTTTTACAAATACATGTTATAAAATTCATTAAATGTGTTAAACACAAAAAAAAAAAAAAAATTCTGTCAATTTGCTTCAAATATATGAACATGAAAAAAAATTGAAATGTTGACTTGAACATGTTGATTAGGTGATATCTTATAATTTTAGTGTGAGAAAAAAAGTGTTAGGTTGTTAGTTATCTCTTTCTTTGTATATACAAATATTTTTAGAACAACATTATGATTAACATTATAGCATCAACATATAATCATGATAATTAGCATGTGCCAATCTGCTATGTTATGTATCTTGAATTCTGTATTATGTATCTTGTAGTCTGTGATATTTCATTAACTAGTCCTAGCTACAAATATGATATTGAACACCTTTGGGTTATTTGCAATAAATTTGTTTGAACATGATGAACTACATGTATGCTCAACAGTCTCACCTGAATATTATATCCTGCCCATATTTACAGCTGTAATGTAACAAAGATTGTTCTTTTTCAAGACATATTTCACAAACATCTATTCTGCGTTTCCTCACATATGACTTAAATTTGCCAGGTCGATCTTCTTTAATGTATTTTTTCAGTTTTTCTGTAACATCTTTCCCCATTATTCATTGTTATTCTAAAATGCAATCACCTATGAAAATTATTGAAAGAACATTTGACATTATGAAAAACTGCAAAATATAATAATTCCTGGCATAATTTCTTTCAAAAGTAACTGAAATTAGGAAATGTATACAACATGTACAATGTTGGTCGTGTTGTTAGGAATTTCAGTTAATCTGATGTCATTTTTTTTAATGTAAACAAATGCAAAGAAACACCATCTTCAGGTAATGTTTTCTTTCATATTAGTGTTCTCCCCAGGGCCTTTTAGCATCATGGTAATGTGATACTATATTGCTAGAATGTGATGCTATATCTGAAATGATTTTCTTATAGCTAGTGTTATGGATGTGATGCTATAATTTGTAGAAACAAGATGGTATTTCATAATTTCCTGTTTACCAAGATGATATAAGAAATTTCTGAGGAGAAGACAGTATTAAAGTTAATACATGAAATTAAACATATAATAATTGCAGGGTTCTCATTAGCATGATTATGGTATTTTGAGGATGAGTCCCATGTCCAGTTACTCAAATAGTTTCGATTGAAACTATAATGACTGTCTTAATTACATGTATCTTACTGTTCTTCCTCGAATGAAGGATCTTTATAACACTGAATAAGTCAGGTCATGATATAGTATATATATTCATATGGAAGAAAGCAAATCTTTGTACCACTCCCATTCCAAACACATACAATATAATTTTTTTCTAATTGTTGAAGGCCTTACGATAACTTGTAGTTGTATAATTACATCCATGAGACAAACAGCTCATACCTCATCTCCTTATATTTATCATGTTATAATATCATAAAGTAATCTAATTTTAATGCAAATGTTGAAAAATACATTGCATTCTATTAAGTTCCATAATTATATCACAATGAAAGTACTCATAATGAGAACCATGGAAATGTACAAGTATTAGTAATGGAGTTTTGTATAAATTAAATATATTGCAATTTGTTTTTAAACTTCATATTTTCCTCTTTTATTTCAATTTTCACTTTGTTTTCAACATTTTCTCCGTCATTCCAATGCATGGAGTTAGACCTGCATGTAATTATCAATTTAAATACATGGGTTTACAATCTTTGATGAATACTTCAGAATAATTTGGCACATCACTGATCATGCTGATGGTCTATATTTATTCAAAATGCTTCAAATAGTTTTTGAAATAATTACACCAACTGTTAGATTATTTAAATCGTTTAATATGCTTCGAGAAAGTTGTCTCAAACGAACAATTTGGTCAAATTTTAATCTGTATTTTTATCATCGGACACAGACAGCGACCACCTTCAGAAAGATCTGAATAAATTGGCAATTTGGGAAAACAAATGGAAAATGGCATTTCATCCAGATAAATGTAATGTTCTTACCATAACAAGAAAACGTAAGCCTATTATAAAAGAATATGTACTGCATGGCCACACCCTCGAATCTCTAAATTCTGCAAAGGACCTTGGCTGCACCATCAGCTCCGACTTAAAATGGAATGAACACATTAAAAGCATATGTGTTAAAGCAAACAAGACCATAGGCTTCCTCAAACGTAACTTGAACATCAATAACAACACAATAAAAGAAACTGCATACAAGTCACTTGTAAGACCGACTCTAGAATATGCATGTAGTCTGGGATCCTTATCAACAAAACAACAAAAGCCGACTGGAAATGGTACAGAGAAGAGCAGCCAGATATGTCACTAACAGATATCATAACACATCATCTGTTAGTGACATGCTTAACAAACTAGAATGGAAAACCCTCGAAGACCGTAGGAGAACATCAAGGATTACCATGATGTATAAACTTGCCAAAGGGATGGTGAAAGTTGACACCAGTAATACTCTCATTCCACCAGATAGGCTGTCCAGAAACATCAACACAAATGGATATCAAGTACTATCTTGTAGGACCGAAGTGCGGAAGGAATCTTTTTACCCAAGGACGATACGAGACTGGAATGCCCTACCACATACTGCCACCAATACAGGTAGTCTTGAATGCTTCAAGACTTACCTGCATGAGATGAACTAGATCAAGCCAAGATGTTTTTAAATTCACTGTATATATGATGTATAGCACAAATTCAAATCAATTCAATATTTATTTATTTTTTTTGTCTAAATTTTTAATGCGCATCCAAAAAGTGGCAAAATAATCAACTTATTGATGGTGGCCGCGTATTGGTAGAAGTAGAAGTAGAAATGTGTACGTCGTCAGGTCGGACGTAGTAATGAATACTCAGTCTGGGGAATGCTTCGAATGTGGTCTAATCAGGAAATTATGTGCACGTTTCACTAAATGGCAACTTACGTGGTTACTCAATAGAAAATAGTAAATTCAGATAAAATAAACTTGAACAGGTTTTAAAAACACTTTATAATATTTGTTGATGCTTTTCCCAAAGTGAAAGTGGATCCGGAAATAAGCTAATGACACAAATTTTCGAGTCCACGGCGGACTTTTCTTGACATTCCGTGTTTCAAAACCTATCATCGATAAATGTTCATATTACATATTTCATATATCTATGTAAAGAACAAGGGATTATATATAGCTGGAACCCAGTCTACAAATATAGCAGTCCGAGCAGAACTAGGGAAAAAAAAACCTTGAGCATTTTATTTTTTCACAGTGTTATAGTAGTCTCAGCTCTATCTTACCTAGCAAGACTGAATTCTGAAAATGTAAATCAAGCATTTATAATTGTCAAAACTGCTGGACTCGCACTTATTCTTGGTATACATATGCCAAGAATATTACACCGAACCCAGACCTTTTAGATAAAATTAATAATTGTACGGACTTGAATCAAGTAAACTCTTTAAACATGTTCAAAAATGAATTAAAAGAAAATTATAAAAATATTTTTGAAAATAGAATAAATAACTATTATGAAAATAGTAAACTGTTATTTAATTAAAATTTAAAACTTATAGAATTTTACTGAGCTTCCAATAACTTTTCTACTTCTGCTTCACTTATTTGATAGTTAGTGACAATAATTCAGAAATAGAAAAAAAGTCGCTATTATCAATTCATAGAAAAGATAGACTATGCTGGGAACAGTCAATATATATGTTCCTGGACTATGTAAACTTTGCGACTTGCTGGAGTATGAAAAACTACGAAAGCCTATTAGGGTCAAAAAAAAAATTATCTCGTAATTACGTAATTACGAGAAAACTATCGCGTAAATACGAGATAATTATCGCGTAATTACGAGATAATTATCGCGTAATTACGAGATAATTATCGCGTAATTACGAGAAAACTATCTCGTAATTACGACATAAAAAATGATTATCTCGTAATTACACGATAGTTTTCTCGTAAAATTTACGCGATAATTATCTCGTAATTAAGAGATAGTTTTTTCGTAATTACGAGAAAACTATCTCGTAATTACGAGATAAAATTACATACATATATATATATAGATAGATGTACAGATCATGATTACCCTTCCGGGGCACCTGATAAAACGCCCGTTTTTATTAGCTCAACTGACCCAAAGGGTCAAGTGATCTTTTCCCATCACATGGCGTCCGTCGTCCGTCGTCGTCCGTTAACTTTTACAAAAATCTTCTCCTCTGAAACCACTTGGCCAAATTGAACCAAACTTGGCCTTAATCATCCTTAGGGTTTCTAGTTTAAAAAAATGTATCCAAAGACCCCGCCCACCAACCAAGATAGCCACCATGGCTAAAAATCGAACATGGGGGGGGGGGTAAAATGTAGTTTATGGTTTATATCTCTGGAACTTAAGCTTTTAGAGCAAATATGACAGGGTAAAAATTTTCAGACGAATCAGACTTCCCGTTGTTGGGATGCTGCCCCTGAATTGGTAATTTTAATGATTATCTTTCAGTTTTTGGTTATTATCTTGAATATTATAATAGAAAGATATAAACTGTAGGAGCAAAAATGCTTAGCCAAGTAAGATCTACAAATAAGTCAAATGACCAAAATTGTCAATTGACCCCTTTAAAGTCATTTCTGCAATTAAGTAAATTTTTGTAATCTTTTACAAAAATCTTTCTCCTCTTAATCTACTTGGCTAAATGAATTTTTATCTCGTAATTACGAGATAGTTTTCTCGTAATTACGCGATAATTATCTCGTAATTACGCGATAGTTATCTCATAATTACGCGACAATTTTCTCGTAAAAATATTTTTTTTGTGACCCTAATAGTCTTTCGTAAAAAACACTTCCTTCTTGAATGTAAATTAACAAGAATCTAAGGGATGATCTATTTGAATATTGTTTACCTTCTCATAATTTTATGTCTCTTAAAATTACCCATGAACAAAAAGCAAAAGAAATGCTAAAGCCCTCTATCATGGACCATGTTAAAAAATATTGGATCCTTTATAACACAGTCATTAGAACTGAGAACAGAAGTCTTATAATTTTTTCCCATGTGTTCATTTATTATAGAATTATTATTTCTTTGCTATATCATGTTTTGTTTTTGTTTATGTCACAAACTAAATATGTTTATATGACAATAAAGATAGTATTTCATAATAGTATGATTTCTATGAAGGAAAAAAAAAGATTTTAAGTAAACGTAGTCCTGCCGATTACAGTTTCTAGATATTAAATTGAATATCTTTCATGATAATGATTAATGATTAGAAACATGTAGTAGTCTCATGATAAATGGGGAAAACAGATATTTGTGTTTCTAGTCGGAAACCATCAGTTATTAAACTACTTTATTTGTGGGTATCAATTAAATTAACACGAAAGCGCGCGAGATCATCTCATCGTGTTTTCATATTTTATAGAGCAGTCTGTCACAACATTCCGCATACATTATCGTGTATTAAAACAATGGCCATAATTCCATGCATCAAAAAATTCTACGTATTCATGCCAAGAAATTGCCTCCGTTGAAATTTTGCAAACATCCCATGCATAGAGTAAATTACATGGATGATTAATATTGACCATTTGGTATATGGCCTTGTTCTAAGCGACACGTACATGCAGGTCATCAATTGATTTGTTGAGAGAAATCAAATCTTTAACTACTAATAGGTGCCGTACGTAGCCGGGAGGTCCACCGAAATTTTTAGCGAGGATTTCTTGGCATGTAACAGATAGAAAACTCAGGGTTAAATTTATAGAACAGACAAGGGGCAATGGCAAATAATTCATGTATATTATGAACACAGAGAAGATTACCCCGGCACCCTTTGAGGAAAAAAAACATTCTTTTTCTTCTATGTGCCTTCGGACTTTATGTTTTGAATTGTAGTTTCACTTTCCATATTAGGTATTCATTCTAATGTAAGCTCCACGTGGCAAAAATCACGTGATGCAGGAATGTAGTATCTTGGAGTTTAGGCTATTACTTTCTTTTCGGGCGGGGACTCGATCCAAGCAGACAACATGCATTTATATAACGGCACTGTAGATTTTCTTATTAAATAAAGAAATGTCCCGGTCCGGTACATGAATAGATTGGTTAGAAAGCATGGTTTTAATTTTAATTAGATTGAAAAACCTTTAAGTTATTTGGGTGTTGAAATTGGAGAGCACCAAACAAAGAAAAGGGGGGGGGGGGGGCTGTTCCACAGGGAATATTTTTATCTTATGAACTCAACATTCGAAAGTTTTTTTTTATTTAATTAAAAGAGAGAAAAACAAATGTAAGACAAATTGTGAATGGTCTTTCTTCCTTTATCACGTGAGGGAATCTCGCATATATCTGGTTTACCGTCAAACCGAGCACATGTCTTTTGGTTATTTCTGTCACTAGGTGGCTGTCTCATTGACGTTTACCCCATATTTTTTCATTGAAGCACAATGCCCACGTACATTGTATATGTTTTAGAACATGAAGTTAAGGTTTCAATCCATGAATAATAAAGTGAAAAAATAGCAAAAAAGAGACTCAAAGAACTAAATAGAAAAAGACGAAATGATCTGATTTTAAAAAATGACCTGTTTGGTCGCTCGTAATCGATTGTCTACAAATATAGTTCCTGTCATTTGTAATGAATGTAAACTTTAATATCTGTGGGGTTTTTTTTCATATAAAATTTTATGGTTAAAATTATAAGTTATGTTATTTCTTTTATAGTGGATTTTAAGATATTTTTTATTATGCTTTAGAACATTAGGGCATTGTGGGACTATGTGTCAAAGGTGTATGATTGAGGGGCAACTCGTTCTATAAAAGCCGTGACTGGTCCCATGTGTCTTGTGACATCATTTCATGTCTAAGCAGTATCAAATAAGTACATTTTTGAGTATACGCCAAGACGAGCATCAGATTTTCAACTTTTGTTTCATTTTGTAGACTGTGTACCTCAAATGTTTTAACTGAAAAAAAAAATATCTTCATCGGGAACTCTCCAGCTGAAACATACACTCTTCAGTTTGGCAGGGACAATACTCTGTTTTTTAATTTTGTCATTTTTGCGCATGGGATCGTTAAAGACACTGTCAGTGGTTCAAAGTATTGCTTGTCAAAGACATGTCTACTAAGTTAGCGAATGCTGCATTCGAATAGGGATCGACTGTTCTATTCATTCTCAGAAATTTTGCAATCTTTTGACATAGAAATTACCCTTTTCTGTTTAAAATAGATATTCTACATTATAAGGTGTCGACATTAAGTTAGTAATGGAACTTGAATAACTTTGAAAAGTTTAATTTGTTTTAAGCCTTAAACAAAAGGTTGCCACATATGTAATATGATGGACACACCAACCTTGAAAGACAGGTCCCTTTAATGTTGCCTTATCCTCGGAAATCTTAAATATCTGCTCAATATTTATTGCTTTCCCCTAAAATAGCTGACAAATATTTAAAATAGTTCTGCTTTAAAATTCATCTATTCTCCTAGTTATTCAAAATTATTAGAGGTTAAGCTTTTTCATGTCCAACGACACATATTACAGTGTTATCCGGATTCACCATTATACGATGCTGGAAAATTGCTATTGTCAAATTCAATTTAAAAAAATAGATTCGTGTTTACAAAAACTACGAGATGTGTTTGAAACGTCTAAGATATACAATGATTGATGTATTCATTGTTGGTCTTTAACGCCACTTTTATCATTATTTGCTATTTCATGGTGACCAACTTTTTTTTGTGTGTAGAAAGCTGGGACGCCCGGAGAGAACCACTGACCTTCGGCAAGGAAACTGTCAATCCTAGTCAATTAAGATTGGAGTCGAACCAAGCTACCACGTGTAGGGTTCGAACTCTGAGATAAGCAATGAAGCAGTAATTTTCACTAAGGAAAGAAACTTGTTTCTCACTTTATCCAGTTTTCGTTTGATATATAGTTTTATTTTCTATTATTCAAGTTGAAGAAGCCAAGACGTTTTAAAAACGAATTGAAGAAAAAAAGGTAGCCAAGTGCATAGTGCTTTCAAACATATTCTTTTATCG